TTCCATTTGCTTAGTTCATGCCACCAGATTCTCCCTACATTCTAAATTATCCTGGTTTTAGGCCCTCTTCCGACAGAACCTTTTTACAACAGTAGCCGCAACAAAACCAATTCTCGTACCTGCAACAAATTCATCTCCCTGCAACAGTCCCTTTACCAGAGCTTCTCCCTGCAGCTGTCGGCGTCAAAATTTTTTTTGCAGCCTCTAGCTAGTCTACAGGCTTTATTGCAAACTTTCTCGTAGGCTTCTCTGCAGCCTTCCAGTCTCCTCTATCTTCCACCAGGGCAGCCGCAGGTTGTAGCCAGCCTTCCTGCCTTCTCCCTGACCACCCATCCCGAGCAAGCAAGCCTCTCGGGATTTCCAGGCATTCCTTCGCTCCTGCGAGAAGAAGCAACCATGAATTCTACAGCTTGTAGCAACAAGGAAATGTTCCGGCCCTAAACATGCATATGATTTATAACAAAGTACAGAATGAAGATGTCTAGTTCTACTCCGAAGCCTACTAGGTTGATGATACACCAATATATCATATCTTGCTAACAATGGAAGATTTCAACCATGGATAATAGATTCAGGTGCTTATGATCATATGAGTTGGCACATTCATGCTCTTATCAACTACCAAGAGATCTCCAAACTCGAATTTGTTGGACTTACCAATGGATCCGTTCCAGAATTGTTAGGAAAGGAGACATGAACATCTCCAAAACTATTCAACTTTCATTAGTGTTATATGTTTCCCAAGTAGATTGCAATTTACTTTCAATTAACTAGCTTGTTCATGACCCAAATTGTGTTAATAATCCCATTCTAACTCTTATGAATTTCAAGTGGTGGATTCGGGAAAGGTGATTGACAGTGTTGAATTGTATCAAGATCTATATCTGCTTAAGAAGAACTATTCCCTTTACACACTTTTCTCCATTATCCCCTTCTCATGATCCCAAGTTTATTGTGTCTAAGTCTGTAGAAAGCCATGCTTTATTATGACATTGTCGTCTATGACATCTTAGTTTTTCTTATATTATAAAGTTGTACACCCATATTTTTATTAACAAGAAGCCTGAGTTATATCAGTGTGAAACCTATCGATTGACTAAACATACCCGTCATGTATAACATCTGTTTGTGCAAACCCTCATATCTTTTTGTTACCATTCATAGTGATATTTGGGGGTCTTTAAAAGTAAGAACCATTGACAGACTTAGATGGTTTGTATCCTTTATTGACGATCACATTATAACCAGTTGAATATTTCTTTTGAAGGAGAAATCTGAAATTACACAAATTTTTTAGTATTTCTATGTCATGATTTATGATTTACACTCACTTCCAATGCAAAACTCAGATTTTCAAAATTGATAATGCAAAAGAATATCTCAACTCTATCATTGGACTCTTCGTTATAAATAATGATATTATTCATGTGAGTTTTTCTTTTCAGACTCCACAATAAAATGAAACAGCTGAAGGAAAAATAAAACATATCCTTGAGGTATCTAGGTTTATATTGCTTTCTCACTTTGTCCCAAAAGTTTTTTTGGGAAGATGTTATGTTCGCAACCACCTATCTTATTAATAGAATGCCAAGAAGGGTTCTTGGATTCAAAGCCCCTCCATGTTTTGATGGAAAAAAATACTCTCATGTTAGAGCTTTCTGATTCAATCTTCATCAAAAAATATTTGGTTCTCTTTGACCGCATTCACCAACCAAAACACTCAAAGGTTGATCCAAAATCCATCTAGTGAATTTTCATTAGGTATGCCTCCAACAAAAAAATGTATAAGTATTGCGCTCCAGTTACCAGAAAATATTCCAACTCGTGAATGTCATTTTTTGAAAATCAATCATAATATCCGAAATCAAATATTTGGAGGAGAGTTCAAATGACATCAATTTTGGGATGCACTTTATGACACCTACATGGCAACCCCACCTACCTTTCTTACTTTTCCACCTGACTCTCTTACTCTTGTTGAGGATCTCCAACCAACTCAACCTGAAGTCTTCAACAAAAACTTCTTGCGTACAGTAAGAGGATGAAAAAACTTGAGGAAAGTGAAAGACAGGTTGCAAAGATATAAACATTCCAACCAAAACCTGAGTCCATATTTATCTAAAATTTCAGGTGAGGGTTAATGCTCATGAGTCATCTTCTTCCTATTCCAGTGCTTATGACAGAAAATTGTATTAGATACACAGTTTAGGAGTATATAATTTATGAGAATCTATCCTTAGCCTACAAAAATTTTATATCCAACCTTGATATTGTGCATATTACTAAATCCATTCACGAAACTCTTGAAAATTCAAAATAGAAGAAAGCAGTGGAAAAGGATATTCAAGCACTAGAACATAATGACATATGAATTCTTACTAAACTTTCTCATGATAAGAAGCCAGTTGGATGCAAGTGGGTGTTCAACATCATATATAAAGCCGATGAGAGTATTGAGAGATTCAAAGTCAAACTTGTTGCAAAAAGTTTTATGCAAGCCTATGGAACTGACTATCAGGAGACCTTCACACCAGTTGACAAACTGAATTTTATCAAAGTTTTCATTTCAGTTGCAGTTAATAAGGATTGAAGATTGCGTTAATTTGACATAAAAATGTCTTTCTAAATAGGGATTTAGAAGAAATGTACATGGAGATACCACTAGGACTTTAGAATGATCCCGACAAACACTTAATATGCAAACTCAGGAAGTCTCTCATGGGCTTAAGCAATACCAAGGGCGTGGCTTGAAAGGTTTATTAAAACTATGAAATTCAATGGATATTTTTAAAGTTAATGATCACTCATTGTTCATAAAGTACACTTGAGAAGATAAAGTTGCTTCATTGATCGTATATAAGAATGATATGACAAATATTAGTGATGATGAAAGAAAAATTTTCAAAATCGAAGAAGTGCTTGCTTCTGAGTTTGAAATCAAAGACTAGAGAAACATGAGAAATTTTCTAGGGATGAAGATAATAAGGTCCAAGAAAGACATTGTTATATCACAGAGGAAATACATCCTATATATACTAAAGGAAATAAGAATAATTGGATTCCAATGGAACCTAACAAAAAGTCTAATAGGGAAAAAGGAGTATATCTGTGGATAAGAGAAGGTACCAAAGATTGGTAGGAGAACTCATCTATCTATCAAATACTATGTTGGATATTACATGTCAGGATTGTGAGCCAATACATGAATAAACCAAATAAATAGTATTTAAAAATGATATACAAGATTCTGAGTTTTTTTAAGAAAATTTTTGATTATGGATTAATTTTTGAAAAAAAAAAGATATGTGGAAATCTATCTCGATGCTAGTTGGGTTGGAGAACTTACTGACAGAAGCTCCAAAACCAGTTACTGCTCAAATGTATGGGGAAATTTGGTTACACGGAGAAGTAACAAGCAAGTTGTTTCTAGAAGTAGTGCAAAATCAAAATATTTGACGTATGCCTGGGGAATCATTGGGATTTGGATTCAGAACCTATTAAGGGAACTAGGATGTACCTCCAATAGGCCAATACATATGTTTTGTGATAGTCAACTAGCTATCAATATTACCAAAAATCCTGTGTATCATGACAGGACCAAACATATTGAAGTTGATAGACACATCATCTCTGAAAAAGTTAATGAGAGAATTATACAACTAAGCTACATTCCTACGCACCAACAAGTTGTTGATGTCTTCAGTAAGCTCTTTCTTTAATCACCTTCTGAAGGTTCAATGCCAAGCTTGATCTATGACTTAGCTTGATGAGGAGTGTAGACACCTGAGAAGTTTCAAGTGGTTTTCCTAGTATAGACCAATCGGCTATCCAAAATCTTTTGAGAGATTTGATTTGAGATCAGTTTAGAAAGCTCTTGTTTTTTGTTTACTCCTTCCCTATTTATGTTTCTTTATTTTTTATTTCTGAATTATTTCCTTTCCCAATATATGATAGATCTATTTTAGTTGTAAATTAGGAGCGATTGGATTCCCTATATATATGTACGCTGCATGTGAATAAAGAGATCAAGCAATTTTTTCCTCTCCAAATATATTTTTCAACATTATGCTCATATTTTATCTGTTTGTCTTGAAGAGAGCATTCATGATACTCTTTTTTAGGATTTTTGCTATTTTGTTGAGGATTTTGGTTTTAAAAACATATGCAACAATGATTAATGTATGCTAATGTTAGCGTGTTATTGACAAATGACAGTTAGTGCACATCATAAAAATTTGCAATTTAATTGTATTCAATAATGTTTGTTTTTCTTTTTTTTCTGTTAAGCTTTTTTATGTGAATTTGATGAAATTATGCTTCATCATTGATTTTTTTAATAGGAAAAACTATTATTAGATGTTTTAGTTATATATTTTATATTAGCAATTTATAAATAGTTTATTTACCCTAAGCCTTACACTTATGATGTTTTGCTGTATCCATATTCATGTTATGTAGTATCCTTGTCTCGTATTGGTGTCCGTGCTTTATAGATAACTTTATTATAACAGATATGGTTTAGGAGATTTTGCTTATGTTGAATGTGTAGCCAACTAAAGTTTGAATGTGGACTATGTTCTAATTCTTTAAAGTTCTTTTTGATCCCATCTGCATTTCATCTTCCAAAAAAAAAAGTTTCTTGCGTTTTAGCTTGCAGTATAGCAGTTATATGTACTCCGTGATATACCTGGGTGCAATAATTCTATGGGTATTTACATACATAGCACACGATTCTTATGTATTTACATATCTCACCCCTAAACTTTGCACATAGCACTCATATCTTTAATATCACATCAAAATAACACTATTATTTAAAGCACCATAGTGCTATATATATTTAAATATGAAAGCTTAGGTGTGAGATATACACATACATAAGAATTGTGTGCTATGTATGTAAATTTCCCATAATTTAATATGTTCTTTGGTTTGGTACATGCTTTTTCTTTCCTAGTTTTAGCATGTCAATGGCTGATGCATTTTCTTTGTGCTTGAAGGTATTCAAAAACTATGGTGCATCAGCTGGAGCATCCATGACTCATTCACACAGTCAGATTATTGGCCTTCCATTTGTTCCTCCTACTGTATCTGCTAGGTTTGATAGCCTGAAGGAGCATTTTGATAAGTCCGGAAAATGTGGCCTTTGTGAGGCTCACAGTGAGGACATTTTGATTAATGAGTCTAACCATTTTTCAGCTATTGTTCCTTTTGCTGCATCATTTCCTTTTGAGGTTTGGATTATACCAAGAGATCATGCTTCATATTTCCATGATTTGGATGAAAAAAAGGTAAGATGTCTGTCAAATTTATGCCATTGTTGCTAATTTATGTAGATTTTTGTTGATATGTTTAGATTTAAGGCTTGTTTGAGAAAATTTTCTTGTTGCTTTCCGTTTTAGAACAAGTTATTTCTTCATTTGATAAAATTATTATGCTTTTTTAATAATGCTCTTAAAAGAACTCCATTTTTTTGCCAATTCGACCCTTAACTTCTATCATACTTTTAAAAGAGGATTTTGTATAAGTAATTTTTTAATAGACTTTATTAAATGGAGAATCTTAATGAAACAAAGCATTAATCATGCAACAAATTTTAAAGATAACCGACACATTCAGTATATTTCTAATTTGTTAACATGATGAGATGAGTTAGGATGTACTCCTTTGAAGGTTAATTAATTTTGTTCACCATAAAAAAACTTGGGAATTTAAGACAATATTTGTTTTCTTGAATTAGACTAAGCTTAGAAGATGAAACCATATTCTTTCTTAAATTTAATGCCTTGTTTTGGGGAGCTTCTCCTTTCATAAAAGTTCTTTTGAAAGCAATTTAAAGTAATAGTGGTATAAAGTTGTGGTTGCTAAAGTTAAACTTCCCTTTGGATAATTTTTTTTTTCTTTTTAACACTATTAGCTGTAGCTTTTTTAAATATTAAAGACTATAATATCCCTAATAATTTTAAAATATAACCACCCTTTCATTCTAATAGACAACTAAAACATAATATTGCTAAAACAAAATATTTCTCCTGATTGTCTTCTAGGGGGGGCGGGGGGACTTGACGTTGCGAACTTTATTTCTTATTCTAATATCTCACCTTCTCATGGAGCATTCTTTGCATCATTGGACTCTATCTCTATAACTAAGACTTGGCAGGTTGCTAAAGAGGATCCCAAGTGGAAAGCGGCGATGCATGAAGAGTGTGGAGCCCTTGATAAAACCGAAAATGGGAGGTTATACCACTACCAGCAGGGAAGAAGGCAGTTGGCTACAAGTGGATCTTCACGGTAAAGCAAGAAGGGAAGACGGAAAGGTATAAAGCACGACCAATGACAAAAGGGTACAGCAGACTTATCTGCGATGAAATCCTTGCACCAGTTGCAAAAATGAGCACGGTGAGAACACTGGCTTCTCTGGCAATGAATAGTGGATGGAAACTCCACCAATTGGATGTTAAGAATGCTTTTCTTCATGGGGAGCTACTGGAGGAGGCATATATGGAGATACCCCCAGGATTCAGTATATCCCAGACTGTAGGCAAGATGTGTAGGTTCTGGAAGTCACTGTATGGCTTGAAGCAATCTCCTTGAGCCTTGTTTGATAATTTTAGAATGATGTTTTGACATGTGATAACAACAGATCAATGCAGACCACACGATGTTCTTTCGACAATATGAATGTTGCACTATCATACTTGTTGTGTATGTGGTTGATATAATTAACACTGCTGATTATGAGACAGAAATTGCCCAACTGAAAGGAAGATTGGGAAAGCAATTTGAGGTAATGGATCTAGGACAGCTCAGACACTTTCTTGAGATTGAAGCAGCGCATGGGCCTGAGTGGATGATTCTATCATAAATAAAGTATGTGAGGGATCTTCTCACCGAGATAGGTATGCGGGTGTGCGAACCAGTAGTCTCTCCAATTGATCAGTACGTCAAGCTCAGTATAGAGGCAGATGAATTGGTTGATCTTGATAGGTACAAGAGGCCGGTGGGCCGCCTGATCTATATGTGCCACACTCGACCCGATATCACTTTTGTAGTAAAAGTGTGGTGAGCCGCTAAATGCATGGTCCGAGGAAGGGTTATATGGATGCAGTGTATCATATTTTGAGGATCTGCACAATGCACCAGGAAAAGAGTTGATATTCAGGAAGAATGGACATGTAAATATTTAGGGTTATTGTGATTATGACTGGGCAAATTGTGATGATACAAACGGTTCATGTATGAATATTGGATGTTTGTAGGTGGAAGCTTGGTCTCGTGAAAGAGCAAGAAACAATCAGTTGTAGCAAGATCAACAACAGAGTTAAAATATAAGGCCATGACATTAAGAGTTGCTGAGATGATGTAGTTGAAGCCTTTTTGGTTGAACTCAAAGTTGATCAGGGAACTCAAATGAAGTTCTGGTGTGACAATAAATCGACAATTGGCATTGCTAACAACCCATTGCAACACGACATAACTAAACTTGTGGAGATTGATAGATTCTTCATCAAGGAGAAGTTGAATAATGGATTGTTGGAATTAAGTTATATAGCTATTGGAGAGCAGGTGGCTTGACTTTCAGTGGATTTAGCTAGATTATGTGACAATATGAGCTTAGTGAATATCTTTCGCTCATGTTAAGGGGGATTGTTGTGACTTATGTGTAGTTGGAGGATTTTATTGGGTTTATTTGTTAAACATTATAACACCTGTTTAAACCCATATGTTGAATGAGATAGATAGTTTTCACATCTAAATTTTTTTTGATTTTTTCAGTTTAAGTTATTTAAGTGTTGTGTAAAGTGTTTTAATTTCAAATTTTTAGTTTATGTTTCACTTTAATTTAATATTATAAAGAGTGTCATGAAAGTGTGGCTCACCTAGCCGGAGGTCCACTACTCATAACTCCTTCGTTTTAGCAAAGTGGACGCTTCACTCGGGAGAGTGAGACACAACACCTTAAACAACTAAGGCAATTTAATCACCTTTTTTTAATTTTGGTTTGTTCAGTTTTGACTTTTTGTTTACTCTGATTGGTTGGATTGTTTTTTAGAGATTTGGAGCTCATTTGGTTTATCTTAATTTGTGTTTGGTTTAAATTAAGGTTAATTAAGTTCATTAAGATTAATTAATTAACTTAATTTGATTTAATTTGAGCTAAATATTTAGTTTTAATTAAGTTAATGAAGATTTAATTAATTGACTTATACTAATTTGATTTAGTTTAAATTTTAAATTAAGTTGAAGTTTACGCTCAAATTGATTTAGTTTGATGTTCATTAAACTTAGTTTAGTTTAAGTTTGATTTAATTTAAGTTACTTTTATGTTGTCTTAATTTAGTTCAATTTAGTTTAAATTGTTTCAAATTCAAGTTAAGTTGAATTGGATTAGATTATTTCATTTCACATTGGTTCGATGTTCAAGCTAGATTCATTTAAGTTTGAAGTTCTTATGTTGAATTAGTTTTATTCAAGGTTTGATTTGGTTTCATGTTGTTTTATTAATTTTATTGGAGTGAGTTTAATTTATTTTGATTTGTTTTGAATTAGTTTTGATTCAAGTTTTAGTAAATGTTATATATAGTCATCAACAAAATTTACCTCACAAAAAAACATATAAGAGGATTTGCATTAGAATTTATCCGATTTAAAATAATAAAATGCATATTTATGTATGTAATAATTGATATGCATGTGAAAAAGGATTCAATTTCTGCGATTAATAGACCAAATAATTCTCATTAACAGTCAAAATTTCCCTTGGTACTCTAAGAGGGTGAGAAAAGCCAGCAAGAATTATTTCACAAGTGGTTAATAGCGCATTAAGTTAGTATGCCTTACTCAGCTTATACGACCTACCAACATTCTTGTTATGCCAATCATATTGATAGATAATGTGTTTTGCTTTAACGGAACCATAATAGTCCACAATATTCAAATGAGGAGCCTATGATTCAAATTTTGCTAACTAGTTTGGCATTGTAGAGAGTGGAACTAAGTCCAAGCTAGGTAATTTGACTTTAAACTTCAGAATACAATTATGAAATGAATGAACAAGCAGCTACGGTTTTGACTCCCAAAGTTTTCAAGACGTCATTTAGTTAATCGAAATTAGATTAAATTTCAAAATTTTTCCATGTCAAATTTAATGAGGTTCGAAAATAAGGACCAATGCAAAATGTTATAGATTCTAAACTTGTTGTTCCATTTCACTGACCAAAGCTAAAGGGATTGTCAAAGCAGGCATGGTATTCCCGGATGAAATTGATTCTTAGAGGCATTTGCTGAGTACGGTTTCAGATTTTGCTTTCTGAATAACAGGTTCGGAAGGTTTAGAAAGACGGCATTGAGGTTCTCTAGAGCATAGGAATGGAATGAAGCATTCACCTTCAAATCGTTTAGTTGGAATGTAATTTCAAGAATTCCTTAGGAGACAAAATAACTTCTCATTTTCTTAGTGTTCTCCATAATCATATGCCAATCAAACACAGTAGATCCAAGAATACAACATTTCACACAAAAATTTCAGTGCCGATCAAAACCCATCAACTTTAGAAAAGAAAAAAAAACTATGATGGAACAAAATTGAACAACCGAACATATAAAACAACCAAACTATTGGTCTCGGAAAACGAAGACAGATAAACACGGGAAGAAATATAGAAAATGAAGGAAATAAATGGATTTAATTCTATACAATTTGGGAGAGGAAACAAAAGAGAGAGGAAGGCCACTCGCGAATCAAGAAATCAAAGCAGAAAAGGTGTTTTCACTGCAGGCTTCGACTTGCAATTCTTGTCTCACGAAGTCTGGGTTGCTTCGGTCTTGGAGCTGCTCGACTCCTTTGAACGAAGGAGAAGAAAAGGGGGTTTGGCTCCTCGTGTGCTCGACTAGAAGAACTGGTCTCTGTTGATTTAACGAACGAAAGTAAGAGGGTGTGATACAGGAGTTCAATTAAACAGCGAGAAAATGTTATTATTGCTGAATTCAAATATGTAATTACAACCATACAAACGAAAATTGGAGATAACAACAAATACGACACACGACACGCTGAATGGTCAAGACAATAGCCTTCAATTTCTACACGTACACTAACTTGAGCCTCACCCTAGATGTGAGCACCTGGCTAATGTAGGCAATCGATTGTTGATCCTGCATGAGTATTGATCCATATCCGTACCCTGACACATTCATTTCCACCAATCTACTAAAGATTGGAAGTGCTAATACCGTGACCCTGTTCATGGCTTCTTCAGATGTGTTGTTGCTTCCCCTACTTGAAATTGTC